CTTGTGCCTATCTGTTTTAATCCCAGAAAATGTATGTAATAAAAATGGCCATTTATGTAAAAAATATTTCCACCAGGCATTTGTATTGAATTGCTGTTATCATACTTAGCTATAGCATCACTTTGAGAATCCATGAGATTTATTGTAGGAATAAACAAATTGATGTACGTCCATGATTTTTTTCAAAACTTACATTAAAAGGTCACTGAGAATGCTTCCACTATTAATTTTAAGCCGGGTTTGTGCCACTATATATGGATAGCTGGCGTACAACTACATCTCTGATGAAATAACTAAACTGTACTTTAATCTGCTGCTGAGTATCTTTAATATCCAATCTCTGTAATACCTTAAAATCCTTAGGAAAGGTGATTTCTCTTTATGGTGAATTTATATATGTTCAATTTTAGGCAACAGAGTTTGGGAAGAACGAAAGAAAAAAATGCAGAAAAAATATTTTTTTCCCGGAGCCCGCTTTAAGACAATAGCATGGCATAGTAGGAAGTGGAAATAGAAAGCGGCAGCAAAAAGACACAGGGTGCAGCCAGAGGTGAAGGGGAGAGCTGCCAGAGTAGGAGTTGCAGGGATTAAATGTTAGAGAAGAGAAAAAGTCACCGATCCCATGGTAAGCCTTGCTGTTCTGCCTCGTAACTGGGGAAATCCAACTGCAGAAAATGCCTTCTTCATAATGGTTCCTGGTAGCACAGAAACTTTTCCTAGCAGCACTTCTTTCTCTCCCCAATATTTTAGTAGTTTTTTTTCCAGAAAGATTTTTCTTTAGCCACTCCTAACCTAACTACTACTTAGTCCAAACATGCTCTCCATCTTGTTTACCTGATTTTTCTTCTAATTGTAGCAGGAATTTCTAATGAGAGACTTTCACCTGTGCCAAATGGAATCTCTGCTTACTCAGAGCCGGGCTAGATGAATAGTTAATTCTCCTTATTTAACAATGGAGTAGTTTCTTCCAATCAGAGGCAGCTCATGGGTAAGACTAATATACCTTTTTAAAACTCTTATGGATGAGCTATTCTGAGTCACACATCAAGCCTATATTCTAAGCCAATCAGAACACAGCAGGTCAATAATGGGTATAGTTCATAAGTGCAGTTGGAGTGCAGCATGATCCAACAGCTAGTGGTAAAATCTACATCAGCCTTCTTCTGGTATTAGAAATAGTCACTGGAATAATTTTTCCCAGGACCAGGTTCTCTTCAAAGGTTTTTGTTTTTAACAGGCATCCACTATTACCCTATTCATTGCTTTTTCATATACATCTTCAAATCAGATCCGATTAAATCTATGCTTTAAAGAGCTCATTAATTAAACAGTTTTAAATGTAACGTCAGATCTTATAGGTTTGGGGTGGGGAAACTTTTTTGGGTTGGGGGCTACTGACCCACAGGAAAATCAGTTGGGGGCTGCACACAAGGGAGAAGCAAAACAAACAGTCCTCACTGACATGGCCCCCGGCTGATATGAGAGACACCCCCCACATTCTCCTTGCATACCAGAGCCTAGGGAGGCCCAAGCTACTACATTTTTTGTGGCGGAGGGGCTGGAGCATCAGCATGGGCCCCCCAAATGTTGGCGGGGGACCTGAGCCTTGGGGGCTGTACCCAGCTCCCAATTAAATGGAAGCATGAGAGGAGCATTCAGCATAGCTGCATCTAGACTGGCATGATTTTCCACAAATGCTTTTAATGGAAAAGTTTTTCCGTTAAAAGCATTTGCGAAAAAGGGCGTCTAGATTGGCACGGACGCTTTTGCGCAAAAGCACTTTTTGCAGAAAAGCATCCGTGCCAATCTAGACGCGGTTTTGCGCAAGAAAGCCCCGATCTCCATTTTCGCCATCAGGGCTTTTTTGCACAAAACAGTTTTTAGCTGTCTACATTGGCCCTTTTGCCCGAACAGGAATGTCAAAGCATTTGCGCAAGAAGCACTGATTTCGGACAGTAGAACGTCAGTGCTCTTGCGCAAAATCAAGCAGCCAGTGTAGACAGCTGGCAAGTTTTTGCGCAAAAGCAGATGCTTTTGCGCAAAATCTTGCCAGTCTAATCGCAGCCCATAAGTACATCAGAATCTGTTTCCTCTTCAGTTTTTTAATCTCCTCTGTGCTAACTCCCCTTCTTAGCTACATGTAACCTGTTTCTTTTTAAAATGTGGGTTTCCCCCCATTTAAATCTAGTCTTTGTTGTGATTAATAGAATTCCTGTTTTTAGAGGAAGATTTGACACTAACCTAATTTGGCAAAGAATTGAATGGATATTTAAACAATACTGTTCTGTGATCCCTACCTTTAATTACAAGCATTTCTCAAGAAACCTAAAAACCACTCCTTGTCAATAACTTGTGGCCATGAAGAGGCTTTTGTTAATTATATACATACACTACACCTTGCTGAATGCTGAAACTATCAATCAGTATGAAATGTAGGAACAGTTCCCTCTTCCTCAATTTACAGATAAATAGCCAATAAGATATTTTATGATGGGCAACAAATCAGGACACTTCTATCTTACTTTTCAATAAAGCAAACATCTGTTTGAGCATACTAATACCTTCTAGCATGTGTGTACATTGTGTGCTTTAGAAAAGCAGATGTTAGTTACCATTGCTCTTAAATGAGGCTGCTTTTCTCTTTCACTAACTTTTGGCACCACAGCTGTCCTTCCCATCCTGTTAAGCTATCCATTTAGTCCAATTCTCTCCATTAGCAAATGCTGTGCTTCCTAGCCTAACAGAAGTTGGACAACTACCAACTGTACTTCCACCCATCCTCACCCCAAAATGCCCATAAAACCTCTACATAACCATAAGTAGATTCGTATCCCTTGAGAATTAAAAAATATATATATCTGGGTGTATCAGTGGTATAAATAGCATAAACTACTGTGCATGGGAGCTGTCCAACCTATTCTGGCAACTAGCCATAAGGTGGATCTTTATCATCCTCTATATATAAAACTGATTTTGCAGGCATTTTGAGTTAGAAGAAGATGCTGCTGTACAATTTAATTTTTTAGCCACAAAAATCTGCCGTGATTAAAACAAAAACCCCCCTTGCAACAGACCTTTCTCCTGGGAGGGAGAGCGTAAGAGGCAACAACACGGAGCTGTGTGTGTGTCTCACAAACTGTCCGTTTGAGAGACCCTACACAAACCTACCTGGCTCGCTCCGCCTCTGCGCCTTGGGGACAGGGAGTAAAGTGTGTAGGTCCCCTTGGAAAACCGAGCACGGGAGGTGAAGTGGGGCAGGCAGGGCCCCCTGGGGGAGCGGGTCCCCAGG